AGCCTAGAGGGATAGGACAGTGATAGAAACTGACGACCAAAGCCTCTGTTAAATGTGCTTGATGAGTTCACAAAATGAATTTTTAAAAAAGCAACCTAATCCGGTAATGGCATCAGCATGCCTGGGACTCATCCAAGAGCTGGAGCTGTGACATGACAAGACTTTTAGATCTTTGGACTCCAAGTGGAGAAGAGCTATGTGCCAGGACACAGATGGGACCCAAGCTGTCTCAAGGGCAGCCGTATGCCTGCAAGGGTGCCGTCAGCCCCAGACTACATGTACTTTACCGCCATTAAAACCCAAGAAATACGTGGCGGGAGCAATCGCTCAGTAAAGAAATCACACAAGCAAGCCAACCCGCTCCCAGAACCCTTCGGGGAGACTAGAATCGTAACGACGACACTACTAGACGGTAGAAATGGCAAACACCGTCGTTCACATTTTCAGTTTTACCGCAGCACCTATGTTTTAACCTTGTAAAACGGAAGACTGCTCAACAGCAGGGGATAAACGGTGATTTCCTGACGGACGCCAGGATCTTCTTTCTTCTGGCACCTACACAAGCGACCTGTCTGGCAGACACAGATTAATTCCCACCTGAAGCCCTTCTCACCAAATACAAAGGGCTGGAAAGGCTACTGGGTTTTATTAGAGGACTAAAAGGCAAAGAGAAGGCTTTTTAAAAAACCCATTGTTTTCAATGAGCCTAAAAAAATAAATAGAAAATGAAGTCTAAATGGATTACAGTCAGATGAAAGGTTGTGCTAAACACATGGTTTTTTTTACATTAATGGGTGTTGTAGGTCTTAGTCCTTAACGTCTCAGATCTGAGGAGGTTAGAGGCTATCAAAATAGAAAGCATTTCAAATCGCTTGACACCCTCTCCATGCCGATAGCGGACTGTCTGTACCAAAGACATTAAGTCACACTATGAAACCTGTAGTCCAATCCTCTCTCCTGTATGTTTCCCACATGCTTTCTTTAGCATTCTTCTTCTTCCTTCTCCCTGTCTTCATTTACTGGCTCCTAAAAAGTTTAAACCAATAAATAGCCTTGCCTCCACCCGGCCTCTTCTTTCAAAGTGCTGAGCGCTTGTTACCTTGCCCAAAGACTTTGGGAGGATCCTTTCAAACAGCTATGGCTCTGCTCCACAGAAATACTATACGTGAAACTCAGCTACACGCCATCTGGGGCCAGGATCATGCGCCTTGTCCAGAAGAAAGGCACTGCCTGCCACTACTACAATATTCAAAGAAAATAAAAATCTCTGCCTCACCCACTAAAAGAAAATAAAAATCCGGTGGAATAATCTCAGTGACACAGGATCAAGATCAACGTGCTTTAGGCTCAAGTGCTGTCATAAATTAATCCTATTTCCCCAGCCATCTATTGTAATGTATTTATGAAAAGATTTTATCAGTTAATTAGCTGGTCCTTAGGAAATTACTGGTACTTCCTCCTGCTGGTCCATTCTGTTTAAAACACAGACCTAAAAAGAACCTTTCAAGGGGAAAAATGGGGTCATTTGTATTTTAAAACAATTCTCTGAACTGTGTTTGGTATGGAGGTTAGAATTTTAAAGTAAGATTTTATCATGCCCTCTTCCTTAGTATGAAACTCAGTTATTTAATATGCTGATAGGTAATGATTCACAATAGCACCAATGAAAGGAGTATGATTTTTTTAAAACTTGAACTGAAACCTGCATTTCAGAAAGTGCTCCTTATGTATGCTAAAATAGAGTAAGACACCCTTAAGTACTCAGGCAATCAATTGAAAATGAAAGTAATGTCTACCCTACCCGTTTAACAAAAGTACTCTTGAGTTCCAACATCCATGACTTTGATTTGCTAATTTTGCGAAAATGTGTAGTAAAGAAGTACTGTACATACATCTATGTATTGACCCAGATTCCCTGGTGTGGTAGCTCTATGTGATAATTTACTTAGCTACACTCATTTATACACATACACATAAATATATGGGATATATATACTCCTACATGCAGTTTTATCTGTACACATACTAAAATGTCTTCAGGAAACCACTCACTTCTAGTGTTTTTTCTCTTTTACAACTTCTCTCTTCCAAATCCTAAATGGGAAAACTCAAAGCACTGAAATAAAGAATAGTTTTCAGCCGGGCGTGATGGCTTATAATCCCAGCAGGAGGATCATGGCAAGTTTAAGACCAGTCTGGGCTACAAAGTGAGCTTGAGGCCAGCCTGAACTGCATACTGAGACCCTGTCCCAAAAAAAAAAAAAAAAGACCAAAAAGAAGAGTAATTTTCTCAGGATCTTAGAAGAAAACTGAGGTGTTATACTGAATGGCCAGCCTGTCTATATATGGCTTTCCTAACAGTCATCTCTGGGTGTCTGCAATAACAAGGAACAGCCAGGAGTCCACCTGGGCGTGCCAGTGGCCCCTAAATCCACACCTTTGGGAGAGTTTCTTTAAAGATATTATGAGAGGTGTTTTTTGGGGGATTTTTTTGTCTTTTTGAGACAGGGTTTCACTATGCAGTTCAGGCTGGTCTTGAGCTCACGATTCTCCTGCCTCAGCCTCCTAAGTGCTGGGATTACAGGTGTGTGCCACCACGCCCGGCATACTATCAGAGTATTTTTTCCTCTCATCTCACCTCACGTTTCCCATTTTCGGTAAAGCACTGGTCAGTCTCTCCAGCTATCTGGGCCTTGTACTATCTTTTCCATAAAACTGGGGGTGTGGGTAGGGTGAGCCAACACACTCATAAGGGACTTCCAGCTCCATTTTGGATCTTCAGGTTTACTTCTTAGGACCAGGGACCAACACAAGGCCCCAGTCTATGGTCTATAGGGTTAACTTTCTGTTCTCTTACAATTTGACTCGCAAGGTTTTCCAGGTAAGGAATCTCTCACAAGTATCTGTATTGACGCAGCAGACATAAAACTGTATAGCTAGAGGTAAGCTGGTCATTTCTGTAAGACTCATAATGGTTTCATGTGTTCCGACCACACTTACGGATGGATGCTTATGGACAAAGAATCCAAATCTGGAAAACTGGGGGCTGGGGATTTAGCTCAGCAGCACAGCACCTGCTTAGCAAGTGCAAGGTCGGGAGTTCAAGCCCCGGTACCAGAAAAAAACAAAAACAAAAACAAAAAAAACCAAATCTGGAAAACTTACAAAAATATCTTTAGAAGTTGAATGTGTGTATTTACAAAAATAAACAAATATAATCTTAAAAACCAGTATTCTAGACTAAAACCGATTATCCACATTACTTGTATTTCTTCCTTTTTCATATTTCACACACTGTCCACAATGGAAAATTACCCAAACCACTGTTAACAAGATATACTATTATCAGTGGTCACTGGTAACAAGAACTTCTCCATCTGTTACAAATGTTTTCGGATACTGAAGAGAAGAAAAGGACGGCTTTCCCTGCCAAATGTAAGCAGACTGTATAATTCATGGATTAGGTGATTCAAACCAACTCATAATGCTTTGCTGAACTTGAATCCGTTTCTTTCCTTCCTCTGGACTAATCATGGGATCTTCCAGAAGATGACAGGAGTGGAAGCTGGTGCTCCCCACAAGGCTATGAAAAGTGCCACAAGTGCCTGGCGTAGTGGCGCAGGCCTATAGTCCCAGCACTTGGGAGGCTGAGGCAGGAGGATCGTTGCAAGTTTGAGACCAGCCTGGGGTACAAAGTGAGCTCAAGAACAGCCTGAACCGCATAGTGAGACCCTGTGTGAAAAGGACAGGAAAAAAAAAAAGAAAGGCTACAAAAAATTAAGGGTGCGCAAGCTGGGCCTCAGCCAGCTCCTCCCTGGCTCCCCTGTGGGTCTGAATGGTCGAGAAACACCCCAGCCTGAATGAAATAGCTCCAGGCTGCACCTCTGCCATCACTGGTGCTCCTGCCTAACCTCTCAGGCAAGTCAACCTCCCTACGTGAAGCTATCCTTCCCCAAGCTCCACCCCAAGAGTTAAGAGTCACAGGGGCAAAGAATTACTGATTAGTAGGCCGTATGTTTTACCCTTACAATATAGAAAAGCTCAACCTTAAGCAGTTAAAGCAAACAAAGCAAAAATATCCTACTTGGTAGGCAGGGACACCTCCCAAAGCACCTCCATTTAAGGTATGGTATTTTAATTAAAGAACTTAGCACATTCTATTTGCTGAGCAGGAATAATTTCCAAGGAGCCAAAACACATGTATTGATTCCTTTACTTCGTCTCTTCCCCCAGATAAATATCTCTTCAAACACAAATCCTGTGTGCTGACATCTTTCTTTAAGGGACAGACCCTTCCTGCTTCAGCACATGCCATGCATCTGAAGGCAGCCATGTCACCTCCCTTTTAACTCTTTGGGGTTGCAGAGAAACAAACAAACGTGTCATAAAAACATTTCAAAGAGCTTCAGCCAAGGAAGCCACCTCCCAAACAGACTAGCAGCTCATGCTGCTCTGAGCAAGAACAGGAAAGGATGGGCCAAATTGTCAACAGAACCAAGTTAGATTATAAATTCTGTCTTTCATCTTGCAAATACACACACGCACGCAATTTAGGTTATCTTTATTTAGCTTTTCTGTGGAAAGCTTCCCAATCACTTGAAAGCAATCAAAGAGCAATAATTAACAAGCACTTACTTTCCATAGAAAACACCACAGCAAGCTGTGACAAAGCTAAGGTAACCATGCCTCTGTGGGTTAGTCAATTCTTTTAAAGTTTCATGGCATTGTGCCTTGGACACGAGGTCTATCATTAAAAAATATCTAGCTGGTTCTTCTGTTCTTTCATTTAATAGATTCAGAATACCCAGCTATTACATAGACCCAGATATCCTCTCTTCTCCCAGTGGCACTTTTCCCCACATATGTGTGCGCATGGGTGCACCCCACACCAGCGATAAAACGAAGCTGGGAAGAATCTGTTGGTGCAAAATGAGAAATCGAATCCTCGCCTGCCTCAGGTGCTTGCTATTATAAACTATGACTAAGAGACATGAATTTCTCTATGATGCAACCCTCAAGAGAGGCAGCATTTTCTCCAGGCCTCTCTTAAACCTGCTCATTCGCCAGTGACTAATGCTCTCCTGCTCAAATTTCATCAGCCGGCTTTGTCCTTGATAGCTCTGCTCTGCCTGGACCATAAAAGCCCCCAAACCTGTTGAGGACAGCCTCAAAAGATCCGGTAAAGCTAACCGTGTCTGCCAGCGCCAAGAGCCATCTTTGCAGCTGCCCCATGCATTTTATTATCTCAAGTAATGAGCACCTAATGACTATCTGAAGGAAAAGATTGTACTCTTCCCTGAACAGTAAAGTCCCAGCAACAACATGAAACGTAACAGCAAATCAGGTTACTCTGTGACCAGCCCTTTGTCAGCTTGGAAGGAACAGAACTGACAACATGTTAGGTGAAACTACAATTAACTGGAATTTTCCATTTACTATCTTCTGCACCTCTGAGAGAGAGAAAAATGGCAGATTCATCATTCACATCGAAGACTTAAATTATGAATAAGAGAGGCTAGAAGAAAACACCATTAATAGACCTTTGGCCCAGCCTGTGTCGGTTAATTTATAATTTTGAGTTTAAAGCTTTGCAATATTCTTAAGGTCAAAAGAAATTTAAGACGAAATTATGTGAGGACTTGCCTGAAATAGACTAGAACCGCTTTAGAAATGATTTCAATAATGAACGAAACCCAAATGTTCAGGGTCACCCCTGAATTATTAAAAGAAACTGCACGCACACCACCATACAAATCTGCTGGCTACAACTGAAGAATATTCTAGACACCGGTGATCCCAAACCAAACAATTTCAGAACAACCGTGCCACCGCAAGAAAGGTACTTACAGTTATCAGACTGAAAATCTGGGACAAACTGTTCATCATCAGGAACTTGTGCTGGAAAACAGATTTTTATTTTAGACCTTTAAGTTTTATTAAAAGGAACAGTAAAATGTTTTATATGGAAAATAGGACAGCCAAGAAACTTGCCTTCAGCTAACCAAGCCTCTTGAAGTTGACTGAGATCCTGAAACAGCTCTGGAAATGAAAACAGAAAAGCCCAGAATGAGGATATTTCTTCTATTAGGGAGAACAGGGCGGAAGGGTCTACCTACCACTGCCACTGAGTGATCTGAAGAAGACACAAGATAAGAGAGAAGCTTCACTACCTTCAGAATCATGAGCCAGATCAGTGTCCAAGAACTTCCTCTTTCTGTCAATCACAGGCCGCCCTCGACATTCCTCTGATCGAGATTTCTGCAAGAGGCCATCACAGACAGAAGATTCAAGAATAGTGAAAAGGTCCAAAGGCGGCTGATCCAGTAAGACTCTTAGGAAGAGGGAGGGCAAACTAAACCGAAAGCTGCATGAACTTACCCCTGGGACCATAAAAGGGACTTGCTGATCATAAAACCCATCCATGGTGCTTCCAATGTCTCTAAGATCACTCTGAAAGGTTTCAGCATTGAGTAATTTCTGGGGGAAAAGGATCCTCCTGTAATATAAATTTGGGTTTATTTTAACTTAAGAGGGAAAAGAAATGAAGCAATTTCATATGGTTCTTTAGGGCCCTGACAAAATCACTGCTCTCAAGTACTGTTGCTCTAGGTGTGGGCCTTTACACCAAGGTTGGGTTATTCAGCCATCCTTCCTTGCCCTTTCTTCTCTCTAATCATTAAGATTATAGATCTTTGGTTCCACCTCCTACCAACAACAAAAAACCAAAAATCATCTCATTTTCATCATGAAAGGTGATTTCCTGAATCTCTACAGAAGATCCTCCAGGGAATTTGCAAGTACAATTTTTTTAAAAAGGGGTAATTTAATTTTTGACAGTAAATTGAGAAACTAAGTTATTGGCAATTAAGAATCTGACATACACGCTCTGCAAGTATTTTGTAGGTCAGTGATTAAAAAAACTACGTAGAATTCCAGGAATACATTATCAAAAGTATACCTTCTTCACACACAACTCTTTATTTAACTAACCTTCTGTCCAAACAGGTGTATGCCTATAACGTCACAAATATCTCCATGGCAACTTAAGTTATCTGTGATATCTCAAACCTCTAGCAGAATAAAAGGTCTCTGAAAAATAATGGATAAAGGAAACTAAATTCCACTGTATGTATTTTAAAGGCAGTTCTACAAAAGGCCTTTTTAAAAGGCAATAAAAATAAATGATCCATGGAAAAAAATTCAATTTGTTTCTTACAGTTAAGTCCAATTTCCCAGACACACACACAACACACACACACACACACACACACACACACACACCCCACCCAGTAACTGATATCAGTACTGCTAAGTGTTGCGGCTTGAGAGAGAAGCTGAGGGCGGCTTGAGAGAGAAGCTGAGGTCAAGGGAGAGGATAGAATTTTTTCTAATCTGAAGAAATAAAGTAACAATTTCAGGAAGATGCCATATCCCTAAACACGTTGTTTTATCCTCCATACAAAAAACGGAGTTCGGTCAACCAGAAAGAGAAAAACATTAATTTCACTTACCCTAGCTCTAAGCAATGCAAAACACTTAAGGAGTAATTTCTTTGTTTAACTTGCACACAATTTTATATAGGAAACTTTTTTCCCCAGTGGGCAATTCTACCCTATTTGTTTTTCACACTGTGTGGAGTGTATCAACTTTTCATAACTTAGCAGGATACAGGAAAGCCCTGCATGGTCAGCCTGCACTTCAGCACTTGGCCCCAAGTAATCGGGTATTTTCAGAATCAAAGGAGGGGAGTGAAATAGCACAATTCATAACTTCCTAGAAAAACACTCCGGCCAGCTTGCCTGCCTTCCAAATAAAAAAGGGTTCAGAATAAAGTCTCTCAAATGGTCTCCAACCCGATTACAAAATCTGAGAAACCTTAGCAGCGAGCTGAGGGGCACGAAAGAGTTCTCTGTCGCCTACGATAATCTTCCTGATTAAATCGTAGCCTCAGAAATTCTGCAAATGTCGGAGGGTGGGCAACGAGTAAGAGACCAGAGGGAGAGGTATTTTCAGCCTCATGATAAAATACTTCACCCAGAAGAGCAAAAATATCTTTTAAATTTTTTCAAGAAAGAAACTGCCGCAAGCAAATCCAAAAGCAGCACCGGGGATCTTTAAACGAAGCTCTCAGTTCAAGGGCTAAAAACGCTGTGTTCAAAGTATTTTTTTTTAACCTGGAGGGAAGGCTCGAGCGCGTCCAGGAGTTTAAACCACTTCCTTTGCGCCCCCCCGCCCCGCGGCTACCCCCAGGAAAACTTTAACACAGCGCGGCGGCGCGACCGAGGCCCCTCCCCCGTGGCGCGCAGCGGGCCCGGTTTTATGAATGGGAGAGCGAGCCGCGGCCGCCACATCAGGTAGAGGCTGTAACTAGATCCCTCGCGCTGGGCCCCATTCACAAAACAAGACACACTTCCACCCAATTCCCAGCCTTCCCCATTCATGAAAACTCCTTCGGCTGCGCCCCCGCCCCCACTCCCCACGCAGGCCCAGCCTCCAACGCAGGCCCCTCACCCCAGCGTTTTAGGAAGAAAGCTCAATGCTTCATTCACGAAAAGGGAAAGGGAAAAAAAAAAAAAAAGCCGCAAGGAGCAGAGAGCCAACGAAAGAAACCCGCTTCATTCATAAAGTCAACCACATTCATAAAAACGAGGTGCTGCGCCAGAAGCTACCAACCGCTTCCAACTCATACACCCCCACCCCAAGCATCTCTCCGAGGCACCCCCCACTAGGCGCTCCCCCTCCCTCCGTAATGCAGCCGGATCCCTGATGCAGCGCGAGGCTCCGGCATCACTCCGTCCCTGCTCCGCAACCGCGTCCTCCCCACCACCCCCAGGCCCTGGGGCTCCCCGAATTTCCTCCAGAATCGCGGCGCAGCCCGACGGCCTCATCCCGCCGGGGGTGGGAGTGGAGGCACCGGTGTCCGCTTCCCACAACCTGAAACTTGCAAGGCCCGCCTAAGTTGCTGGCCGACCCCAACGCCGCAGGCTGCACATGCCTGTGTCATCCAACCCCTCTGGGCGTTCTGGGGGGCAGCGCCTCGCAAACATTCCCCCTCCAACTGCTTCCCGCCCCTCCTCCCAACTGCAGAGCTTCGCCAAGCGTCTCTTCTCGCGAGCCTCCAAGTCCCCTCGGGGCTCTCGGATCTCCGGAGACCAAAGCCCTGCGACTCCGCGCCTCCCCGTCCCCACCCCGGAGCCCCGCACCCCGCGCGCCTCCCCCGCCAGGTGCGGAAACCCGCGCTCCGTGCGCTCCGGAACCGTTAGCCGCCCCCGCCCGACGCCTCCCACGGACCGAACCGGACCTGGCCGGACCGTGGGGGAAGGGAGCAGCCGGTCCCCGAGGCTCGCCCCAGATGTGCACACCGACTTCGAGGATTGCAGGTCAGCCAGGGAACTCCCGTCAGCTGGGCCTTTGGGACCCGTGCAGGACGCCCCCAAGGATAGCCCCTCGCCCCCCGCAACGCCCCCTCACCTGAAGTGGCCGCCCACCCCCCTGGCAGCGGCCCCGGCGGCGCAGGCGCGCTCACGCACGCGCGCACCGGGCCTGGGCGCCTAGGCGAAAGGCTGGGCCGAACCGCTCCGGAGACAGCGAACTGCTCCGCGCACCAGCGGCTGGACTCTGCGCCGCAGCTGCCAACCAGGCTGGAGCGCTGGCCCGGCCCCCAGCGGCCCGCCGCTCCGCCCGCCGCCATTGGCTCGCGGCCCCAACCTAGCCCGATTCCCATTGGCCGGAGGCCGTTCCCGCGGCCGTCCATCAGCTCTTGTTTACCCTGTCTTCGAGCAAATCCAACCGAGCCGCCCCACCAACTCCTGCCTCCATTGGTCGACTGTGGGTCTCTCTCCACCCCCTCAAGGTCTGTTTTTACATAATTTATGCACCGGGGGCCATTGGCCAATCAGCACAGGCTTGTTTATATAATGAATGTAAGGACGTTTTTCATTCATAAAAAACGCGACCTGAGGGGAAAGCTTAGCTGAGTCAGTGAAGCACTTAAAGGGGCCGAGGATCCGCTGTTACTTCCCTTTTCGCATCTCTCCCGACTTTTCGCCAAGGCATGGCTCTTCGCCCTTTTCCATCCCCCCCCCTTCCCTCTGCAAAGCCAAGACCACGGTTTGGGTCTCTTGGCGCCAGATGATCGCAGCTGCAGCACCGAGCAAAGTTATCATTTTAGAATTCAGGCGAGAGGAATTCGTCATTCTGCACAGAGAGAAACTCGCTGACCGGCCTGGGCGTTCGGCCCACGGAAAACGGAAACCGAGCCCTCTAATCTAAGTTACCTTTAAGAGAGGCCTTCATTTCTGCTCACCAGGTTTCCAGGGAGAAGAATAAGCAGTTATCTCCTTTTACAATCTGAGCGCTCGCAGATTTCAGTCACTCTTGTACCGGCGAGGCCTAAGGCCCAGCCAGATCCTTAGCTTTCACTGCAGCTCGCGCCCTCCGCCCCTCCGCCCGAGTGCGAGTGGTTCTGGAGCCCAGGTGCGAGAAGGTCGGGGCTCAAGGAATCACCTCTCCGCGGACAGCAGCAGCCGGTCAACACACCGAGACTCAGAAGCCCCCCCACCCAACGGGCGTGCAGAGAGACCGCTCGTCTCCCTCCCCAGGATGCTTGTTTTCCGTTTAAGTGTTGAATGCAAGATGGTGTGTTTGCGAATTAGATCCTGCGCGGCTGAGAGCAACTAGGAGAGCTCTGCTTGCCAAACGGTAGAGTTCTGGCTGCAATTGTTGAAATTCTTAACGGGGTGTACCAGGAAACAAACTAGCAATCCTGTCCCGCCCGCGCCCCGTCTCCTCTCTTCTGCCTGAGCCCGGGTTCGGCTTTTCCCCTGGACGCAGGGGCTGCTGTTCTTCAAGGGGTGTGCCCTGACCGACACCCAGCGTGTCAGCGGTGGGAGGAAAGATGGGAAGTGTTAGGAGGGAGCTCCTGGCAAAGGGGGCCCGAGGATGGCCAACCCTGGGGTCACTCCCCTACTCCTTTGTGCGTGCAAATGGACTTTTAGGAGAAAAAAGAATATAAGTCAAAATTTGCCCACCTGCTTATTTTACCTCCTCTTGGGTACCATTATAGCCTTTGACCCATTTGAGCTCCAAAGGAACTGGAGCGCTACACTCAGACCTGGGCCCAGGGCCCAGCAGGCTGAGCTCCTAACATTGGGAGAGACTAGGATTTGGACAAGCAGATGTGTGAGAAAGTACTCTTGAGTTTTTAAGAAGCAGCTCCTGGATGTTGAGCGCTGTGCTTGCTACTCCAGTTTTTCCTTACTCCCCAGGCCTGGCCATTTTTGTCTCAGTCTACTTGTGCTTGCAGTTTATGGCTGACATCCCTGGAGGCTCCATCTCCCCAGCCAGGTGCAGGGTCCCCATTAGCTCCCGCAGCCTCCTTCATCCCCAGCTTTGTCTGCTCCCCGCGGCCACCATTCCCCTATCTCATTCCTTGCCAGTCTGCTCTCTGATCTGGTTTCTTTTTGCTTAAGTCGCTCAGGCCCCAGGCCTCTGGAAGGTTGGAACCCACAGCTCCTTACCCTGTAACCCATAGCAAATCAAAAGTATGATGACTTTACAACTTTGGCTACTGGAACACCGAGGGACACCTCACAGTGACTTCCCAAACAGGGTTAGACTTGATGCCTGGAATGTGGTGGCTGTGACCTTTGCCTTAAGCTGAGGTTCTCCATCCTGCCTTGGGAAGAAAAGTTGAGAATTTGTGGATGGAACTTCTAGATAGTGGCTACATGGTGGGTGGGGTAGAGGGAGAGATGCGTAGTATGTTTTTATAGGAGTGTTGTCATAGACTCAAGAATGTATGTAGGGATTTAGGCTGGAATAGAGCTAACGTCAGTTAATTGCGGAGTCATCCAGTAAATATCTATTTTTATTTTGTACCAAATATTCAACCAGACTCCATGCTATGCAAAAATGATGAATAAAACCCAGCTTTGCCTTGGAGAAACACAGTCTATTGCATAATTTCAGTAGCTGTGGTTTGCAGAACGCTCATATGATGACCTATTTGTGCCGTAGACCATTCTCCACTGGTTATCTCATTTTATCCTTACAACAGCGGTACTGAAGTAGGGTTACCGACATCTCCATTCTACAGGTGAGCAACTGAGGTACAGAAAGATTAAGTCACTTGCCAACAGTCACAGAGCTGGTATGTAGGTTGCTGAACCTGGGAAGCACAAAGACGGTCCCATCTCAGAGCCCAGACACACCTCTGCTGGTCAGAAAGACACCAGGAAAGGCATCATTCAAACCCAAACTGGAAGGAAACAAAACCAGTTTAAGTCACAGGGAAGCAATTTCCGCTCGGTATAATGTTAGGAAGGACTGTGGAATGTTTGGAGTGGTCCAATGGAAGAACACGATAACAGGCAGCGAGTCTTCAGGAGGCATTTGCGCAGAAAAATTTAAGATAGTGTAGAGCAGCTGCTTCACTGGCCTGGAGAGAGGCACTCCAAAGATTCTACCTGCACTCGAACTCTATGATTGTTGGAATTTGGAGTGTTGTGTTAGTCCAGGTCTGGTTGGGGAAGGGAAGGCAAGGATGGTACAGCTCATGGTGCCCTATCTGCCAGGCCAATTCCTGTGCCCTGGACGGCTTCCTTACTGTTAAATGTTTAGGGATGTTTTCCTCCCACACCTCTTCCTCTCTTTCTCCTTGTGATGTACCTCCCCTACTCACATCCCCAGGCCATCTTCCTTTTCTCCTTATCTTTGTCTTTGTAAGAGTTAAGGGTCAGTAGTTAGGAGCTCTTTGTCTAGTACCTTGGTCTTTCCTCCTAAGAACAATACTTACATTGGAGGTTTTGTAGAGCATGTGTTTTAATTATCATTCCTTCTCCTTCACGGGAGAATAAGAATTGGAAAAGTAAACAAAAAGACAGTCCAGCCTCTTTGGAGCATTCATCTCCTGTCAGTCTAGCCTTTGTCCTCTAGTAAGCTAAGCTCCCTTAGTCACAGTAAGAAAACTAGACCCTTGTTCTTTGCACTCAGGTTACTGTGTGTCTTCAGGGGATTAAGGTAAAAGAATAGATTTTTAAAAATTAAACAAACAAAAGAAATCTGTCCTAAACGTGGGAGTTTCTTTTTCTTGTTAGAAGACTGCTTTTTAAAGTTTCTCCTGGCGGGGCGTAGTGGTGCATGCTTGTGATCCCAGCACTCAGGAGGCTGAGGCAGGAGGATCCTTTTGAGTTTGAGATCAGCCTGGGCTACAAAGTGAGTTCAAGGCCAGCCTGAACTGCATAGGGTGACCCTGTCTCAAAAAGACAAAAATAAGTAAATAAAATTTTCCCTAAAATACCAAAGTAAGGCTTGGTATAAGGCATGTGGCCTTGCCTTGAATTAATCACCAAACTGATGGGGGACATATGGCCTCATCATGGTCTTGATCCCTGGTGTGGGGAGTAGGCCTCCTGCACCTCTGTTAGAAATCCTGTATCACATGTTGTCCTGACTAAAAACCAGGGTTTAGGCACACAGTCCCCAAGAAGAGGAAGGGAGCTGAAGTCAGTTTCTAAAAGGCATGGAAATTTTTTTTTGTCTTCAAGGGAGAGATAAAGAACACTATCTTTCTTTCTTTTCTTTTTTTTTTTTTGTCTTTTTGAGACAGGGTCTCACCATGCACACGTTGTAGCCCAGGCTGGCCTCGAACTCATAACGATCCTCCTGCCTCAGCCTCTCGAGTGCTGGGATTACAGGTGTGCGCCACCACACCCGGCTCACTGTCTTCTTTTCTAAAATTCAGAAATAGTGCCGGGGATATAGCTCAGTGGCACAGCGTCTGTCTGGCAAACGTGAGGTTGTAAGTTCGATTCCTGGTACAATAAGTAAATAAATAAAAATGAAATTCAGAAATAAACATCCTAAGAACTGAAAGAAGAAAATTTTATAGATTCAAAGTTTCTTTCAATAAATAAGGGCCCCCTTGCCTCCAAAGAATCCCTACAAACCAGGGAGTAGTAATACTGGACAGTTAGTGAGAATTAATGTTAGCGAAGCACTCTGCTAAACGCTATGTGCAGCAGCAGTTAGTCCCCGCAAAAGCCTTCTGAGGGTGGAACTGGTCTCTTCACCTCTACTTTTCAAAGTGAGGAAGCTTCGGCACAGGTTCAATAAACCGCTCCAGGCCATATAGCTAATCCAGAGTAAGAGAGCTGTACCAAGCAGACTGCCTTCCAGAGGCTGCCATTCAACCGCTCTGCTACACTGCTTCATCCCCCGGAAATTGTTTGCTTAAGGGCAGCAGCCAGACTCCAAAGAGTGCCAGACTCTATCACAGGTGGGCCTTGGCGTATATTCATCCACTTGGATCTCCTACCAACCCTATTATATAGAGTAAAATTATTCTCCCCATTTTGTAGATGAAGAAACCAAGGCTGAAAGTCAGGAAATTTGCCCAAGGTCACACAGTTGGTAAAAATTAAGAGTCAGGAGCTGAATGCAAATCTGGAGTCTTTGTTCCTCAACATCTTGCTACGCTACCTTAATTCCTGCAGTCTCTCACTCTACCACCTGGGCTTATCGGTGCCTGGAGGCTCTGACTGCCCACCTGCCTGAGAGCGCACCCTGGGGAACTTGCTCAGTAACTCCAACCCCACTTTTGAATTACTCTCTTGGGCCATCAAAGATTTCCTCTGCATGAAAGCCACTTTAGAAATAGAGTGGAAGAA